TTCGGGGGGGGGGGGGGTCCCGGAATTTGCAGAGTTATAAAAAGTTTATAGTGAAGAAAATGAAATGATGATTTTGGAGCAACTCCCCAATCCAACCCCGGAAAATGTGGACCCCACCACCACCATGAAATGTTTTTTCACGTCTAGTGAATGGATTTTATTTTTAAAATTTTTATTATTATTTATTTATTTATTTATTTATTTATTTATTTATTTATTTTTTATTTATTTTTTGTTGTTGTTAAGAAATTTCTAGGGGGTGGACCCCCCCCCCCCCCTTGGAAAAAATTCCTGGATCCGCACCTTCGATCAGATGAAATATATGAATATTTATATGTATTTTAGTCTTTTTTTTTTTTTTTTTTTTTTTTTTTTTTCCCGATAAAAAGACGTGTAGTGTATAATACACAAGGGATGAAATATTGAAATATATTTTCCTCCAGTTGTTCTTCAATTCATTCATTTTTCCCTTCTCATTATAGCACAATCTGTGAGTACGTGTGTAATCTGATTGTTAGAGTTCCTAACTATCTTTATTTTTGTGTCATGACCGTGTCATGTATAGAAAAAAGTTGTAAAACAAATCGACTTTAAGACTTTGAAATTGTTTTGGAAACAGAATAATTGTGTTAAAATTTTGTATACGACTTTAGAAAAGTTAGTCATATATACACGTATACACAACCAAAACTGACAAGAAATGGCAAGAAAGATAACTTTTTTTCTTGTATGAAATCTTTGGGTGGTCAACAACGCTCTTAAATCATTTTTAAAAGTTTTTTGTAGTTTGAAATCGGGGCTTTAACTTCAAATAATACATACATAAATTGGTATGATTTATTATCTTGATAACAGGTTAACACTGGTATGTTCTCTACAAATAAGCTGAAATGATCATATTTAAAATGTCAAACATAAAAACCTCTACATCACTTCCGCATGATAATCATGCATTGTCTGGTTGTCTGTTTTTTTTTTTAAGTTTTTAAACGTTAATGGGTAAATTTACGACACTACATTACATTGTCAAATCCTGAAGAAACGTGCAAACCATTTTTCTTTCGTTAAAAATTACTTGTCATAACGAACTACCGATATACCTCTTCCCCAAGGTCCAGTATGCATTCCGCCTGTAGGACACTCCAAGGTCCAGTATGCATTCCGCCTGTAGGACACTCCAAGGTCCAGTATGCATTCCGCCTGTAGGACACTCTAAGGTTCAGTATGCATTCCGCCTATAGGACACATAATGATCTTTGAGAGCAAAATCATTCCTATTTAGCTTTGGCTTCAACAATCAAAAACGAAATAATCATAAACTCACTTCTAAGAGGTGATATCAAGATAACTTGACAAACTCAAATTGATCCCCAATTATACATTTTCCTTAACATGGAACATTAATTGGAGTAAATTTCGTTTACTCGCACCAAATGGTCTGGAGACAATTTGGGCGAAAACCGGTATATAGTATATATTATACTACATACTGTCTCAAGACCCCTCACTGTGGATTTCACTTGGTCAATTCCGTAACTGTCGAACACCTAAGATGAATTATGGAAATAACGAACAATATTCAAGCTCATATAGTCCATTAAAACAATACAAATCGGGAACAGAGCAAACATGGACCTCCAAAAACATCAGATCAGGTACCATATGGAGGAGTGAGCATTCCCTGTTGACCGGTCACACCCGCCGAGGGCTCCTTGACATGATCAGGAAGAAAACGGAAAAAATCCGTAGACAATTTAGTGTGTATAAATAATGGCCTTAATTACAATTAGTATGAAAAATTTCTGTCAACATTTGACTTAATGATAGATTGTATTTGCTGTCAAGGTCATTGTATCGACCATAGAACTTGCAAAATGATGACTTTAAACGAGACAGTTAATATTTTCTTGTCTCATCAACTTGTTTGTCAATAGGGATTAGCTTGCCTCGTTTTAGAAATTGTTCGTCCGTAGAGCATGCTCTTGCCTATTGAATCAACTGAGAGACATAAAGCTCATATGCAAGTGATAAGGGTACATATGCATATTGCTACACAAGTAAAGGAAGTTGACGATTGAAGAGTCGAAGTCATCACGTTTATCATGAAGCTTTGTTGTTAGGTAGATATTTTACTTGAAAAAGACGTTAAGGTAATCTAACAACCAAGCTTTATGATAAACGTGATGACTTTAACTTTTCAATCGTCAACTTCCATTACTTATGCAGCAATATACCTTCATCACCTGCATACGGGGTTTATGTATCTCAGTTGATACGCAAGAGCATGCTCTACGTATGTACAATTTCTAAAACGAGGTAAATTATTGACAAACAAGTTGATGAAACAAGAATATCAGCAGTCTCGTTTAAAGTCATCATTTCGTAAGTTCTATGGTCGTTACAATGACCTTGTCACCAAATACAATTTATCATTGAGCCAAATGCTGACTGACGTTTTTCATACTAATTGTTAGGCCATTATTTACAAACTGAATTGTCAACGGATTTTACCGTTATTTCTCGATCATGACAAGGAGCACACGGCGGGTGTGACCGGTCGGCAGGGGATGCTCACTCCTCCATGGCACCTGATCCCACCTCTGATGTTTTGGAGGTCCGTGTTTGCTCTGCTCCTATTTTGTATTGTTTAATGGACTTTTGAGCTTGAATACTGTTCGTTATCTCCATATATTTCATTCAAGCTCACTGGGATATATCGAGTGGACAAATGAATGGAAGTAAACTATAAAATTGATAATACGTCGTCGATAAATCTAAATGTCCAGTTGAAGGCCACATCAAGCGTTTTTTTTTTTTTCTCATGTATAAGATTTTGAATAAATTCTGCTTCATATGAATACAAAAATAGCTCTTGCGGGGCGCAATTGGTAACCTTGGGAATTCCAACAGATTATTGGAAGTCCTGGTCTCCAAAAATTACATACTAGTAGATATTGTTAGAAACTCAAGCATAGCATCTCTTTAATGTCAACTTCAGAGTACTTGTGTATACAATCAGAATGATTTTTAACAAAATAATTTTGCAATTTCCAATGAAAAAGTAAGAATATTTACGAGTTTCATTTTATATTGCAAAGGCAGCTGTCTGTGATGTCAAAATACATCGACTTTAATAATTTATCGTGAGGAATGGTTGTATAAAGTGTTGAAAAGAAGTACGTTTTGATGTTATTGATTTAGGTAAAATTTTGTGATTTCAAATTTTCTAAAAGTTCCTTGGAGTTTTTATGTATCCAAATCTGATTTACAACACTTTTCATACAAACTGCTGTACAGTACTCCCGAAGTTTCTCCTTCTCTGCTGTAAATATTTTGGTGAGGAGTAAAGAAATAACCCGCCATGTATCTTTGTATTGAGTTTGGAATTCAGTATAGGTATGGCAATACAAATTCATTTCGATTATTTGGATTATTAAAGATATTTAAAATTGACATATGGTTTTGAAGAATTTCCTTCTTATAAAGGGAGTTATGGGTATAAGTTGGACTACCACTTGCAGAATTAAATCCTAGTTCCTCTAAAATAAAATTCAAATAATGAGCCTTACAAACAAAGACAATTAATGTTGTTACCTGCTTTGTCAGCTGGGACCAGTACATACTGATCGTGTAATCTAATTCTTGTTTCACTTCTGCATTGCCGAAGACTGTGAGAAGGATGGTTTTCATATTGCCCCTCAGTCGCTTAATGCAAGATTTCAACATCCTTATGATACTTTTAATCCATTCTGACAAAGTGTCAAGGTCTTCTTTTTCATATATGGCCCATAGTCTGGCGTAATCTTCCACGGAATTCATGTTTATGAAATTATGACGCCAGTTGAAAGATCGGGTTCCTATTATAATACAGTCAAACCTCGTTATCTCGAACTCGATGGGACCGAGAAAAATACGAGGATTCGAGATATCAAGGGTAAAATACTTAAAGTAGTTGGGGACTTCCAAATCACTTTGACATACCCATGGTATTCATTATCAGTGTTCGAGATATTGAAGTTCAACAGTATGTGATTTAAGGTCCTCATTATATATAGTTTATCCTGCTTTCAGTGTGATGCTGAAAACGATATAGTCGTCCAGTATCTAATAAACATGTCCAATACCTCACTCAGTACTTCAACATCAATATTAGACTTGTTATGCCCGCGTAATCGAAGATTCGGGGGCATATAGTTTTTGCCCTGTCTTTTTGTCTGCAAAAACTTTAACGTTGTCCATAACTTTTGATTGTTTGGAGCTATGGCTTTCTTTTTCCAATGTGTATTCCTTGTGACAAGACCTTTCATTTGGGTACCATCATATTTGACCTTGGAGTTTGGTCCAGTGTTACAAAATTTTACCCAACATTAACCTTGGCCAATACCTTTGAATATAGTTGGTGTTAGGGCATTCATACTTCACGTGTAATTCTTGACAAGACCTTCCTTTGGATACCAACAACTTTGATCCTTTGACTTTGGCGTTTGACCTACGTTTGAAAACTTTAACACTGGTCATAACTTTTAAACAGTTGGTGCAAGGGCTTTCATATTTCACAAGTGTAATCCTTGCGACAAGACCTTCCTTTGGATACCAACAAGTTGACTTTGGAGTTACGACCTAATTTTGAAAATCTTTTAAAATTGACCACTTTTGAACGATTGGTGCTAGGGCTTTCATATTTCATGTGCATTTCTTGTGAGAAGGCCTTTCCTTGGGCATCATTGATTTTGATCATTTGACCTTGACCTTTGACTTGCTTCAACCTTTTCCATATCTTGTCAATGTTTGCTGCTAGGTCTTTCATATTTCAAAGGAATATTCCACGAGACAAGACCTTACTTTGTGTACCTACATACTTCATTTGCATTTGAGAAAGTTTAACCTTAGCTGTAAGTTGCCATACGGGGGCATCAGTGTTTCACAAACACATCTCCTTTTCAGTATACATGTAGATTTACATAGGAAACATTTTCTAAGGTACAACAACAGTACAACTGTTTAAAATCAAGTTTCTGGAATTTTATTACACATGATTTTTAGAAAATGAATCTCAAGACAACTATTGCCTTTATAAATAACAATGGAAATGCTGTGTTTAAAATACATGTAACATAACAATGTACAAAACACACTCAGTAACAAGTACATATACAAGATACGACAAGTTTTGCAGGATTTTGAATGTGTAGAGATTGTATCACAGCTCTGGATATTGTACACTTGAATTTCACTGAACTGTATATTGTACACTTGAATCTCACTGAACACATAAGTACAAGTGTTTAATATCTGTAGATTTCAGGTTTGAATGGACCTTCCTTTGGTAGATCTAGATACTGGGCCTGGTCATCTGAAAGCTTGGTCAGCTTAACACCAAGATGTTCCAAGTGGGCAGCTGCCACAGCCTCATCAAGCTACAAGGAAAACACCCATAATCAAAATTACTGAAACTCAGTACTTAAACCTAAAAGTTAATAGGATTTTTCTTCCCAATATTGATTAAAACTCTACACAAGAAATATTTACCTTTCATACTCTCTCAAGATAAATTGATTTTAATTGGATATTCCCCCCTAACATTCATCAAAACTCCACACATAAGATTTTACATTTCATACTTTAATTCCATTTCTCAAGATATATCTAAATCAAAATAAATATGCTATAATACCTTTAATATAAACGTGCAAAATAGTTTTCACATAAATAAATTTTGAAAACAAAGCAGCAATACCTTTTTAGGAAGGAGATGTACACCAACTTTGTACTGTCCCTGCTTGGTCCAGAGTTCAATCTGTGCCAAGACTTGATTGGTGAATGAGTTACTCATTACAAAACTGGGATGGCCGTGAGCGCAGCCCAAGTTAACAAGACGACCTTCAGCCAGCAAGATGAGGTGACGTCCATTCTTAAGTGTGTACCTATCAACCTATAGTTGATGGGAAATAATAATTCCATTAATTAGTAATTATACAGAAAATAATTTATTGTTTCCTTTTTTTTTGGGGGGGGGGGGGGGGGTTGGGGGGGGTTAATAAAATTTTGCATGCAAGTTGAATGTACAGTATTTTCAAAGTTTGAGAAATTAATATTCCAGATGTTTTTTTTTATATTCCAAATGTAGATGATGTGCACATTAAAATTTTGCATTACTTACCGTATATACTCGCCTATAAGTCGGTATTTTGGGAGTTAAATTTTGGTCCAAAACTCTAGGTCCAACTTATAGGCAAGTCATAGAAAGATTAGTATTATCTGGACTTCGAAATGTAGTATGGATATATCTTATTATTTATGCATTCTAAGATTATATATAAAGTACAAGTATATACATATTTTAATAACTTTATTTTTATTTAATGTGTCCATTATGTATTTTTCTTAATGATTTAAAATTAAATATTGGTGTCACTTCTAAGAATATTAACTGAAACCAGGTTAAAACATCAGAGCATTGGTTTGAAATTGTCAACCGATTCTAACAAAAAGTTGTGCCGACTTATAAATGGGTCAATGGCAAATCCCTCTAAAATAACCTCAAAAAATACAACCGACTTATAGGCGGACTGACTTATAGGCGAGTATATACGGTAAACTGGTGCAGTAATCCAACTATCATATGAACTGCATTTAAACAGAATTAAATATAAACTCTTTCTTGGAAATGCATAAATCACATACAAAATATTTTCCTCATTCAATTGTGAATTTTTTTATTCAATGAAAAGTTTGAACTGAATTTTCATCACATTTCAAGTACAAAGTCAATAAAATTTACCTGTGGCTTGATTTGTTCTTTCTTCTGACAGTTAGCATTCAGCCATGCCACATCTAACTCGCAATCAAAATGCCCGATGTTACAAACTATAGAATCTTCCAACATCTGTTCAAACATGTTCCCATGAATGATTGATTTACATCCTGTAGCAGTTACAAAGATTCTGGCTTTTTTCAGACACTCATCGACTGTGGTTACTTCAAACCCTGTAATTTAAAATGTACTTTTTTATCATATTTTTACTCAAAACAACTTACCGATAACTGTGATTGATGAAAGAAAGACTCTCTTATTGAAAATGCACTATACAGGCCTTTCAAAATCTACTGGTACCCTGTACTTCTGCTCAACTCAAATCATGATTATACCAGTCATAAGGGTGCAACGATAAACCGTTTGACGGTATATCGCGGTATATTTTTCCACGGTTCAATTCACGATACGCTAAACCGATATCGCGGTTCGGTTCAATCGGTCCAGAATTATCCGTTTTGTCCGTTTTATTTCCTTCTTTACTATTTCAAAATGGCTTCCGCGCAAAACGTGAGCTGGTGAGGTCGCCGATAATGCATTTACGGCAGTTAAACTCATCTCCAGCATCTTACAGACCTCAGATTTAACACGGAGAGGGACTTAATGTGATTATGAGTTATAGATGTTAAGACAAATGATAAACCCTTTAGATCTAAACGTATTCTTTGGTAATACACGATATTCCATCACCTGTGTATTTCGATGAAAATTCGCTGTCTTGTTGACTAAAACGTATTAACACGAGAAATATGACAACTGGTTTTCTACGTAAATAAAAGAATGAATGTCTTCCTTTTTCATTCCAATTTAAAAGGAAGATTATTAGGAAAGGTCCCCGTAGTTCCCTGTAAATGTTCATCATTGGTTTAAAATGACACAACTCAAAGATCTATTTAACAATCGAATTCAAGTTAACAAAATTTTATTTTAATTATTATTAAAAAATATGAACATTTTGTATAACCCTGTCAAGTTTTAAAAAATATGATGACAAACTTGAAAGACTATTTAACCTTCTTATGTATCGTGATACGTATCGTATCGTGAACTGAATACCGTGATACGTATCATATCGTGAGGTTAGTGTATCGTTGCACCCCTAACCAGTCAAAATTTTTGTTGAGAAAAATTTGATGTCCTTTACTAAAATCACTTCCACAAGGTACCTCCTATTTAGTGCAAGTATCACCTACTTCTAATCTTTTTAAAAACCCTGACTATGACATTTTTGTCAACCAGAAAAAAATTTCTAAATTTCTTCCAAATTACCTTCCATGGCTGCCTGGAGAGCAATAATTGGGTCAATCTCTGTAATCATGACTCGGGCTCCAAAGGCTCTCAGGGCGTGGGCGCATCCTTTGCCTACGTCACCGTAACCGGCCACCATGGCAACCTTTCCTGCCAACATAACGTCTGTGGCTCTCTTGATACCATCCACAAGAGACTCCCTGCATCCATACAGGTTATCAAATTTGCTCTGAAGAGGGAAAATCTTAGTTCAACCTTGGTTCCTCTTACATTTATGCATAGATGCTCCTTCACATTATTTCGATTCACATTACCTACTTTCACTCTCAGCATTCAATTTTTAATAATAATTATGGAAAATCAATCTCTACATATTAGTTATATAAGTAAGAAACAGAGAGAGCAGATTCACCTTTGTGACAGAGTCGTTGACATTAATGGAAGGAATTTTAAGTTTGCCAGCTTTCATCATCTTTTCAAGATTGTGAACACCAGTTGTGGTTTCCTCTGAGAGACCTTTGATTCCTGCAAAAGATTTCAATTCAAGCTTTTATATGTATAAAATTTCCCTTTCTCTCATTTCTTCCAAGTTGTGTGTGCATCTGTTTAGAAAATAAGAAATCAGTACAACTCGAGGTCCATTTCCTGGGCTTTCCTTTCTGAAGCAGACTTGCAAAAAAATTAACCTAATGAAATGTGACACAAGTTTTTTCAACTCCATGTCTGCAGGGCCAATGCATATTGAACACCAGCAAAGATATAACATGAATACTTATGCCAGAAACAGTGGATCTTGTGTATAATTTTGCAAGGACAGAAAAATATTTGCATTTCAATGAATATTTTCCAAATAAGGCCAAACAAAAAAATATGTGTGATTCCGGTTACACTTCCAAAAAAATTAGGGTAGGTAGGTAGGGATTTTTTTTTTTTTTTTTTTTAACAAAACATTTTCTTAATTTTTCTAAATAATACCTATCACTGCTTTGCAAATGACATTTAGATGTGGTGTGATAATATACTAGTCAATATTGGTAGAGGACACCTACATGCTAGCTTGCTTTGGATTTAACACTATTAAACACTTGCACTATGTTTTGCAAGGAGGCCGTCATTGCTGAAACTAAAACTTAAACTGGAGCCATTGATGGAAATCGGGGGAAATTCCAGAAAAAAAAATGAAAATTGCCAAAAAAAAGTTTAGGGTCGGGGGTATAAAATAGGGAAGGTCGGGTAACCAGAACCACACATATTTTTTTATTTGGCCTAATTATAATGCACAGGTTTAGGAATTTATTTCAGTCTTTCTAACAAGATTTCCATGGACTTGGAAGACTAGTATAGCCTAAATTGCAGGTATTGATATTCTTAAAAAATTCTTGTAAATATATGCATGATATCTGAAACCAAGATTGATTTTGGCTTTTTCTAATGATGAAATGTACAGATAGGTTTATAGTATTATATCCCCATTATACCATAAATACACATTATCATAATAAGATTTTTATCTTGTTTATTGATTAACCCCATATGTTACTTCATATTGTGGTTTAATACAGATTAACTGAAGGGGGCACTTCTTAATATCAGTGCTTCAGTTGCCTTTACTTTGCTTTGCAGTGTTGGATTAAATTTCCACTAAATTTAAAAAATAAAAATAGTCTGCAGCCCTTCCTGCACAAGATAACATTTTTCCTGCTTAAGTATTTATTCTGAATTGGAGGTGAAAACATTTTTTTTTGTCTGTTCAAATTTTCTCTGTTCTCAACAATGTGCAAAAAAAAAAATCTGAAGGATTGAACAAATATACTGAAAAATATAATAAATATACCGAAACCTACAGGTAATTACAACTGCAAATAAAACATCAAAAGGCAAGAAAGTAAACACACTTTTAAACTAACAGATATGGGTGTCTTATTCAAATTAAAACTTATCAAACTATTACAACTTATTGCTCCTCATTGGAACAAAAAAAAATTATACTTTAGGTAGGTTGGGTTTTCATTTTTATCATCAGTCAGGGGTGATACTGAAATCCGTCATTTTTAAAATGACAATTTTTAGTCAATAAAATAAAATTTTTATTATGACTTAAACTGGTCATTTTTAAGAAAATGACGAAAAACAGTAATAAAAATTTAGAGTGTTTCTAGAATACCGAGTTACCTCTCTTTGAAAAATGTTAGATCCACCAACCGAAAAAAGAACAAAAAACATCGTAAACAAACTTCATTTCTCTAATACAGTTGACTACAATACTGGTTATGTTGACAGTACAAATTTCCCAAGCAAAAATAAGAGTGGAAGAGTTATTTGTCAATTTATTTGCATTAAATAGGAAAGAAGACGAAAATGACGATATGCCGTCTTTTTTCAAAATGGAGGGTCTGGGCGCACTGAAATATCTCGCTTGTTTTACGGGGCGCACTACTTTTTTATGGCTTTAACTTTTTGTCGAGACTTTTCTCTACAAGTACGTATTCTTCCAGACGGTGTACTATATGTTTTTATAGGTTTAAAAGCCATGTAAAAATGGCGAATTAGTTCTACCAAAATTCGACACTTTACCGCTAAATAATAACTTTCACCTTCCATGTTGATGTTCTAACGCACGTGGTTGGCAGTAATTAGTGACCCAGATGAAATGAAACTTGCGTAAACACTCTTCTTTCAGTGGTGAATTCAAATTTCGCTTTTATGTAACCAGGATAGAAGAATTCAGTTGAAAAAGAAAAAATGACGATAGTAAGTCATATTGACAAAAATGACGAAAATACGTAGTTAGTAAATATGACGATTATCCATCATTTTTCAGAAATGATGGATTTCAGTCTCACCCCTGACTGATCATATTTATAGACAGACCATATGCTTGAAAATTCTACCTTCAATATACTGTGGGTATCTCTCATGAACAAGGTTCGTCAGATCACCTCCGTCATCAAGGATCATGTTGAGGGGTTGACCGTCGGGGAAAACCAGGGTCTGTTAGCAAGAAATTGAGATTATTTGTAAATAATCTTGCATATCTGATTTTTGAATGGCACCAGAAATTACAAAATTTATGTTTACTCCACCTGTTCAATACACCAGATGTATTCCTCATCTGTTTCTCCCTTCCATGCATACACAGGGACTCCTGTCTTAGCAATGGCAGCTGCTGCAAAGTCCTGGGTGGAGAAAATATTACAGCTGCTCCATTGGACCTATAAATAAAGAGGTTGACAATTACATAAATTTTAAATCCATTTCCGTCTCTGAATTTAAAAAAAATCTTTGTAGACATACGAGTATTTTACCATGAGAATCTTCATATCCAATCAATAAACTATGCTTTTATTTCAATAATCAAAATTTTGAAATTTTCTCCTCACATCTAGATAACTGCTCCCAGATGAAAGTATCCTAAGCCAAATTTTAGGCAATTGGAAGATCAGATACAAACAAAGATTCAGATGATTTCTATAAAACTAACATACCTGAGCCCCAAGAGCTGTGAGGGTTTCAATAAGAACGGCGGTCTGAGTTGTCATATGAAGACAACCAGCAATCCTGGCGCCTTTCAGAGGCTTGGAAGCACCATACATCTGTCTCATCTGCATCAAGCCAGGCATTTCATTCTCTGCAATCTCGATGCATTTTCTGCCCCAATCAGCCAAGCTGATGTCAGCTGCAATTTCAGAATAAATAAAGATGATATAAATTGCATAAACAAAACATTTAATATTTTCAATTCACCCTACAATGCCACACTTTCACATTCGGTTCCACCATTGTATGATGCAACTGATTTGTTGCGAATCACTTTTACATACATGTAACATGAAGAGCATATTTTTGTCCAATCAATCTCTTATTAAAATCCCCAGCCTACTGGCAATCAATGCAAGTTTTCCAAAACAAATACCACATTACTTCATTCTCACCACACATTTTAATGCTAAACACACATCCAATATCTTTCAGTTAAAAAAAAAAACACTGCTAGTTTTAGTAATTGTTAACCATGACTAGCTTAGTTGATACAGCTCTATGCCTTTCTGAAATAATCTGTGAAATTATTTCGATAAAGGGTTATTATTATATTATATACTTAGGTGACCATGCGATAATTTTGGTGTATTTGTAGAAAGAACTAAATAAATGCATCTGGTTTTTTACTATTTTTCAAATTAACTATATAATACATGAAATAAAAACTTCATGAACAAGATTTGCATTTTTTTCTTCATTCAAATATTTTTTTTTTAACTGAATCTCTAATAATTTGGTACATGTTTCTGTCTTGCTTCTGAAAGATGCTCTGTAACCACTTTTTTAAATTAAAAAATTAGTTCAACAGAAACAAGGGGTTTAAGATATTGACCTTTACAGTGTCAACTGATATATATGTTGCATTTTTGGGATGCTGAGTCAGAATGGAATTATAGGAATACATTATAATTTGATGGGTATTTCAGGAGTTTGAGGGGGTGTCTTAACTGGAACCCCACGTGAGAAAGTATCGTCCTCACTTTCAACACTGCACATATCTAAATCTAAAGTTCAAAATTAAGTACTGTACAAAAGTCAGTATTAAAGAGATTTAAAGAAAATACTTTTTACCTAAACACAGCAAAATCATATATGGCAAGTCATTATCACCTTCTTTAATGATGACATTCATTATGTGAGTATATTCGATAATTAAAAGATAAAATCGAAGGGGTTTCCCAAGCCAAATTAAAATTAGCACACCCACCGGCATGTTTCCTATGAAGTGTTTACACTTCTTGTGTGAATTACCGATGCACCTTTGCAATTATTCAGACTCAATTCTTTAAAATCATACATACCGACTTTGTATGCTGGTTTTCCTGACATGCTTTACGATCTTCACGACTCAGTGTTCACTGAAAAATAGAGGCAGAATTCATGACGCGATTCGCATTTATACCAACTGAAGTCACGTGGCTAGGGTACCAGATATAGATACCAGTTTAGTTCTTATTTAAAAACTTGCGCGATCGCAAAACAAAGAAATTACAGAAAACTGCGTCTCTTACAATGTCTTATGCCTACCGAACTGTTTCAAAAGGTTATCAATTCCACTGCTCAGGTTGCGAAGACAACTGTTGTGAATGTAAAATTATGTGGATCGTGTAATGTTTTCAAAATTAATTAATTCTTTGTCTTGAATAATTATTCTTTTAATTTTGTACTTTTTTGCAGTTTAATTTATTATTAGTTAAACTAAAATCAACTGTGTAATGCACTCTTTGAAATCAATTCAACCGATCTCAAAGAAAGTCAGTCTAATATTAATATTTAAACTCTTCGGAGGCCCTCCTTCCGTGCGTTGAAATCATTCAGTGCTACAGCACTGATTCTTTTTTTTAAATTATTATTTACCCACAGGGTCTTGGTTTATAAATAGGTATGTACCTTATTGATACATAAAAAAGTAAATGTATGCAAACTCCTTACTTTTTTTTTTTTTTGATATCAATAAGGTACATAAATATTTATAAACCAAAACCCAAGTATACCTGTGTATTTATCGGTAATTCGTTGTTCGGATTCGATTCTCGTTAGTTCCCGGCGCCGTGATAGTCCTAACCCGTTTAACTTGGATAAAACTGTTTCTTAGCCAGCGCCCGACATCAGGAATGTTTGTTTGTTTGAATATTGTTTAACGTCCCTCTCGAGAATTTTTTCACTCATATGAAGACGCCACCACTTGCCGGAGGAGGGCTGCAAATTTTAACCTACGCTCGGCACTTAGGGCCATTGAACAGCCAGAGATCTTTTTCGTGCCAACACATCAGTACTGCAACTTGGGACCTCGGTTTATACAGTCTCATCAGAAAGACTGGTCTCTATACGTCCCGCATTGGATTCGAACCCGCGACGTAAGAATCAACTCCTTACTCCGCGACTCTACAAATGAAAGTTATTGGTCTTTCGAATATGACCTTTAAAGCGTATGTCCCATGTCACTAAAGGCGTTGGGACGATATTAAGAATTTAACACGCCTTGGCATCTACGTACGCTTATCAGTAGCAAGGTGTCTAATCCGCTTTACTCATAACAATGAAATCTTTGTGTGGAGAGGATCAGAAAAACTGTCTTGGCAAGCGAAGATGTGGCGCTGAGTACCAAGAAAAGGCCGGGTCTAAATTTTAAGCTTTTTACCGGAATTTGGTAACGTTTCGTATGGCTGAATTTTTTTTGCAAGGGAAGTGAAACAATGTTTTCCTGAGAATATATCGCCATGTTTCTGAAAAGGGGGAGTTTTTGTGGATTCTTGTGCCTTCTTAATTGAAATAATTTCTTTATAATTATATCAAATAAACAAAATAAAGCACGATTACTTCCATGTAAAAACAGATAAAAAATAAAAATGACATTATTTTGCTTCAAATATTATTTTCAAGTATTTTTCTTTTCAAAGGGGATGGGATATCGCACCTTAAGCACCCCCTTAATAATTTTCCAATGACCTTGAACAGGTATGTATTGAAGTGAATTAACTCATCGGGATCGAAATTTTGCGTTGTGCGCAAACGAACTCTGGCGGAAGTTTGGAGGAAGTTTGTTAATAAACAATGGAAATGGCAGCGAGCAAACGGTTTGCGCAGACGGCTACTGAAGAAGTTAAACAAAAGAAATTCAAGGTAAATTCTTTGAACACCGAGAAAAACAATACCAAACTGTAATAATTAACGAGATTATTAAAAGGAAAAATGCTCCAATTTTTAAATCGTATGATGCATAACGTTAAATACCGTAATTAACATCCTTGTTATGTTTCAACTGGCCGTTTTTTACTGGGTAATAAATATTTGGTTGAGTGAATTTCTGAGACAATTTTTTACATTGATTTGATGCTCGAAAACCGGGTGAGAAAAGTACAAAAATTAAATAAAAAATCACTTGAAATTTTTAGACATTCACTAAGCTAGAAATTTAAACACATTACCAGGCCATGTTTACTGAACTTTTTAGAGTTTCTACAGTCGAAACAATGGACTACTTAACAGAAAATTCTATAGAGAAAACCTGGAGAACTCGTGCTTTATTTGGTGAATTACTTTATATATTATATTCTATCTATAAAATCAATAACAATGTTATTTTGTTTTCCCTTGAAAATATAGTTGAAAAACAAAACAGCTGTTGAAATATTTTATGTCATCCCGATCTCGATTGAATTTCCAAAACGTCGTTTATTGAAATAATTTATAATTCTTTTTCACATTACTTTGATTTAATTTTATTTTCAGTGATGTAGAACTCTCAGCCATTCACTCTTGTGTAAAACATATTTATAAAATTAATTTCTTATTACTTTTATCACAAAAAGTATTATAAACTCTTCAGAGATTAGTATTCCCTAATAATTCAGCATAAAACGTAGCATTTTAAAAAAAATTATTTTGTTTTTTTAATGATAAATTGGTTATTTAAAACACAAATATTTCATTTACTGAATAATTAAAAATCATTATGGTTCTTTTATATTCTTAAGAGTTGTCTAGGTTCTCTGTTTAGTATAATAATGCGGAGTCTTCCAGTGTATGATCTAGAGTCAGTATATGGTGAAATGGAAATCCGGAAAGATATTTTTCACATTGCAGCGAATCATTCTAATCGCCATTAACATGGCCGTAGGAACCGGGGGGGGGGGGCACGGGGGGGGGGCCGTGCCCCCCCCAATAATTTTGCCGATATATAGATTACTATAGTAAACATAGATAATGTGTGCTTGTGCCCCTTCAATAAAAACGTCTGATGACCTTTTTTTTTTTTTTTTTAATTTTTTTTTTTTTTATTTATTTTTTTTTTTTTTGCTTGTCAGGAAATTTTTGGTAGTGCCCCCTCAATGTCAACTGAAAAATGTATGGCTGTGCCCCCCAAACTGAAATTGCTTCCTACGGGCCTGCCATATTAGAAGTCAACTTGATTTGTGTTATAGTCACAGTTTGGCATGCAGGGATAAATGGGGAAAATATTTACAATATTAATTCCTGATACTGGTTGTATCAAGACTTTTTTTTTATCATAGCAGAACTCAAAATCGAAAAGAAAGTAGGTGTCAGTGCAAAAGTACATTTAATTTGACCTTTTAGCACTTAAATTGATATTAACATTTTACCATGGCAATTATGTATAAAATAATTTTATTTATTATTGAAAAAAATATTGCAAATCAATGAGCGTGAATTGTTGTGAGACCTAAAATATCAAATTTGGGCTAGGAAATCTAAGGAGGCAAAGAAAATAATTTCTTATATCAAGCTTTTTACGAACTGCGTGCTGATTGGTTGAAAGTATCGTGCAACTTCAAAACATATAAACAGTTTGTGCCTGTGATGTATAGATAAAAATTAGGAAATTTTTGCTAAAGCAAGGTTAATTTTATCTGGACTTGCTCACGTCTACAATTTTCTTTAACATCAGGAACGTATATAGACTATAACGTCCCTGGCAGCATACGTCCAAAAAATGCGTAAGTTGAAAGTACTTGAAATACATTATCTCTTAAATCCTACATTGAATATTCTATACTATATTCATATACTAATTCCAGCTTTAATGTTGGAAAAGCGAATGTAAATTGGATAAGGCAACTTTAAAGTAGGATTTACCAACTTTAAAGTTGGAAAAGCTAACTTTAATATCATATTGGAATTACCAACTTAAAAAGTATTATGTGGCACTAATATGCTTCCGTAACTTTACTATTGAGAACTATAGTTATTCCGTTTTGCCTTGCTGTGATTTCCATTTCACATGCAGGAATTCTCCATATTCTTCAAGTAAAACTGAATGTGTAACTACAATAGAATATTGAAAAAATCTGGTATTGTCTTCAGGCGCGGATCCAGGAATTTTTTCCAGGGGAGGGGGTCCAAATCCCAGTCAACAAAAAATTCTAACCCAAAAATTTCCTAACAAGCCCCCCCCCCCTCAAAAAAAAAAAAATTAATTCCCATCCCAAACGTAATAAACCAAGAAAATTTCTTGACAAGCAAAAAAAAAAAAAAATCCATTTTCCAAACGTGAAAAACACCTATTTCGTGGTGGTGTTGGTGGGGTCCACTTTTTTCTAGGGGGTCCAAGGTCATTTTTTATTTGCTTCAGTATATACTTTTTTTTTATAACTCTGCAAATTCCAGGGGGGGGGGGGTCCTGACCCCCCCGACCCCCCTCTAGATCCGCGCATGGTCTTAATGCGTCAGAGAGAACGTCACCTTCAGAAAGCGTTATTTTCCGATGTGAATATATATATATATATATATATATATATATATATATATATATATATATATATATATATATATATATATATATATATATATATATATATATATATATATTACCGAGTGACTTTTCAATTATATTCAACCATGTCACATAAATTAGAGCTTAACTGACCCTTCTGTTCACTTTCAACTGGGAATTTTGAACTCAAAAAGTGGCAGAATTGATTTTAAAATATTGATGACATCTATTATTAAGTTTACTGAAGAATACAGACGGATTTTTGACTAATCCTCCAAGCGAATCTTTATATAAAGTGTAATTTCAAAAAACTTCTTTAATCAAAATTCAAGAATTAAAAAATTCAGTCCTTTTGGAGTTTTTACCTAACTTTGTGAAAAAGAACCCTTTTTTACCGGCCCCATACCTGTTTGCAACAGAAATCCGTTGAAACAGTGAGCTAATATCATTTTTTTTGTGTACACGTTTTCAAAAATGATATCATCTTGAATAATCCATTCACACATTTTGAAAAAAAAAAAAAAAAAAAAAAAGAATTCTTAATTCGTGTTAAATGAATTTTACTGATTTTATAATTAAAATTAAAAAAAAAATTATACTAAAACGAAAAACATAAATATGTGAACAGCATAGATTGCCCCCTTAATTCCTTATTTAAGGAAGCTCTAAACACTGCACACTAAAGAGTTCTAATTGTAGGATAGTTTTATACAGTTAAAGTGATCTGTCCTTAGAAGTAAGATAGAAAAAATGGTTATTTATTGTTAATTACACAATTTGTAATAGATTAAAATATTCGTAGCATTATATTAGACCAAGAATAAGTAATTGAATTCATTATTTCCATTAATTTTCCCAATGTTGGTAAACAACAGTGATTTCTGTTCACGCATAGTCCATTGTCTTTGAACATTTTTCTTGCAGAAATAAGGCAGGTACCCTATGTTTAAAATGAACTAAATAATCTCAATATGCACACCTTTTTATGATATATTTTTCTCTAAGCCCAAAAAGCACTTTTTGTTAGTGTTTAGAGCTTCCTTAAATCAACTAAATGCGTTAAGTGAAATACTAGATCCGCACCCTAACTGGTGAAATTTAAATTCACCGCATAGCCGAGTAACCAGATGGGCCAGTGACAAGTTACACAAGAGGGACATTGTTTGTATTAGGATTTATCGTAACTCACTACAGCCTGGGTTTTCTCTTCAGGAAGAAGAAGTGTCCCCTGGATCACAGACTCATCAGAAAATGTCGATAGCATCTCAAAAAGCGTTTTCAACAGGCAAGTCAATGATATTTATTTAATTTTAATACTGGAAAAAGTTTCTTTAGATTTCTTTGTTTATTCTGTTCTGTTGGTTCTTTTGGCATGTTTTAATTTTTGATTCCGTATATACTGGTTCGGTGTAATCAATAGATTAAAGAACATCAAAAATTGACATAAACATGTATAATATTGCCTTAAATTTCTTACGGCATGAGAATATTAAAATGTTGAAGTTCATTTATAAATAGAACATATGTTTTCTCGATGTCCTTGCATTATATTTTATTAATAAGTGATTTAAACGATGGTTATAAGGCATCTGTTAGTATTAGTAAGCCTTTTTTTATATATATTAATTGGATTTTTGGGTGTTGCTGACCAACGATGTCACGATTATAAAAAATGTATGCACCAAAAAAACCTTATTTTCCCCAATATATGGGAACTGGGTGGAAGTGCATCCCTTATAATTTTGCCATTATATATGTTATATAATTATACGAAAACAAAGCTAATTTACGTCTGTTCCTCTTAAATAATAATGTCTGATGATTTTTTCTGTTTGGATCCCCCTCCCCCAAAAATAAATACATTGTAAAATGATAAAAATGAAACTACTACCTATGGGCATGTGCAGAATACGTTATAACTTTCTGACATATCAGTGTGATGCATTTCAGCACCTACTGAGGAAGTCAAACTGTCGATGAAATTCATTGTAGTTAATATTTTTAAAGCAAAAAAATGTATACAGACATACTGTAACGGACGGAAAACTTACTGTAATATTTACATAAATGGAAATCATAATGTTGAAATTACATGTAACTATTCCTTAAAGACAGGTTCGGAATTCCCGCCACTACAGACTGGTACCCTCCGACTCTACAGCATGCGTCTCTGTCCATACGCTCAAAGAACTAGATTGGTACTTGTCCACAAGAACATACCGTGAGTCTTGAAACTTTCATGGATGCACAGATTCGAAAGTGCGCGTGGCATAAGGATCAAACTGCTTGGGGGGGGGGGGGGGTTGAAAGGCGTTGTGGTGCTAAGTTAAAAGGCGATATAAAGAGGGGGAAAACGTAATAACGAGTGAAAATGTGTTATAACGGGAAAATAAGTTTATTATACGAGGGCTGTTAGAAAAGTTCGCGGACACATTAATTTACGGATAATGTTATGTGTATTTTGAAGAATGGTGTATGTCTGATTAACTTCTTATTTTTTGTTTATTAGTATTTTAAAAATCAGATCTATTAAAAAAGTTTGAAAATATACGATGCTTTTTACTGTGCGGTCATAGGATTCAGGGAGCAATCGCTTAACGTTAGGTGACGTGACAACTTGTTTCCAAACTTGTTAAGCCTTTTCACAGTTCTAAATATCTTTCATTTCTGTAGATTTTCATGCTTTTTTTTTCCTACTTAAAAATCAAATTACTACATAAAGACGTTACTTTTTTCTAAAATTTCTTATTGTGGCGTATCGGATTAGTGAAATCTTAAAATCGATGTCTACAAAGTATATGGAAACAATGCAAAATCCATAGGTGTATCATGTTCTAAATTTTGAATTCACCGGGTGGAAGTAAATACAAAATTTAGAACATGACAATAGTTGTCATGTTCTAAATTTTGTATTTACGCCCACCCGGTAAGTTCAAAATATGGAACATGACAGGTGCAACGTCCATGCGGGGAATTGGGGTATCACAAGAGCTGATCATAAAAAATGTCAATCCTTCCATTCTTATTCTTATTAAGCTACTACGATTTGAACACTTTGGTCCTAAATACGTGTAGGCAACATCTAGAATATTTAAGCCTCTTTCGAGTATTTTCCAGTCTGCACACATATTTTTCTTTAATAGGGCGGTGCTCCAAGACGTTCATTGACGTTGCCATTCTTGACTTTGTTTTTATGCATTGGTCATCTATAATTAGCGATAAAACAGTCATAATTCCTCCAATTTAATTCAAAATTTCGCCAAATGACGTTTCATGATTATTGTAGCGGTATGTAAATTATCATAAATCTTTGTGCGCTACAACAGTGCAATAAATGTCTATGTAATGTAAATGTTTGAAAAAGTGACATGCTCCGTGATGCATGTTACCTAGATGAAATAACTGTAATTTTTTTAAGGATCACCGGAAAACACCAAATATTTGCATGTTTATTGGAGAATGTGAATAGTTTTGTCTGCAGAATCTTACTGGTTTCATGCAAATAGCGCGCTCACGATAGAACTTGTCCGCGAACTTTTCTAACAACCTTCGTATAGTGCGAAAAAAGGCGTTATTGTGCCTTTCAAAAAGGCGTAATGACGTGAATCAAAAGGTGTACGCAACAAGGCCTTTCAAAGGCGTAATAACGCAAAATTACGCCCTTTTTCGCGTTAAAAAAACGCGTTTTCACTTTGTGCTATTACGCCATTTTATGCCCCCGTATCGAAGATTCGGGGATATATAGTTTTTGCCCTGTCCGTCTGTCTGTCTGTCTGTATGTATGTTTGTGTGTCCGCAAAAACTTTAACATTGCCCATAACTTTTGATTGGTTGGAGCTATGGCTTTGATATTTCACATGTGTATTCCTTGTGACAAGACCTTTCTTTGGTACCACCATATTTGACCTTTTGATCTTGACCTTGGAGTTTGACCCAGTTTTGCAAAATTTTACCCAACTTTAACCTTGGCCATAACTTTTGAACAATTGGTGCTAGGGCTTTCATACTTCACATGTGTAATCCTTGTGACAAGACCTTTCTTTTGAAACCAACAACTCTGACCCTTTGACCTTGACCTTGGAGTTTGACCTACTTTTGAAAAACTTTAACATTGGTCATAACTTTTGAATTGTTGGTGCTAAGGCTTTCATACTTCACATGTGTAATGCTTGTGACAAGACCTTCCTTTGGATACCAACAACTTTGACCTTGACCTTGGAGTTTGACCTACTTTTGAAAAACTATAACATTGGCCGTAACTTTTGAACCGTTGGTGCTAAGGCTTTCATACTTCACATATGTAATTCTTGTGACAAGACCTTCCTTTGGATACTCACAACTTAGACCCTTTGACCTTGACCTTGGAGTTTGACTTATTTTTGGAAAACTTTAACCTTGGCCATAACTTTTGAACCTTTGGTGCTAGGGCTTTCATAATTCACATATGTAATTCTTGTGACAAGACCTTCCTTTGGATACCAACAATTGTAATCCATTGACCTTGACCTTGGAGTTTGACCTACTTTTGAAAAACTATAACATTGGCCGTAACTTTTGAACCGTTGGTGCTAAGGCTTTCATACTTCACATATGTAATTCTTGTGACAAGACCTTCCTTTGGATACTCACAACTTAGACCCTTTGATCTTGACCTTGGAGTTTGACCTATTTTTGGAAAACTTTAACCTTGGCCATAACTTTTGAACCTTTGGTGCTAGGGCTTTCATAATTCACATATGTAATTCTTGTGACAAGACCTTCCTTTGGATACCAACAATTGTAATCCATTGACCTTGATCTTGGAGTTTGACCTACTTTTGAAAAACTAAAACCTAGGTCATAACTTTTGAACGATTGGTGCTTCAGCTTTCATATTTCACCAGTATATTTCTTGTGAGAAGGCCTTTCCTTAGGTACCATTAATTTTGACCATTTGACCTTGACTTTAACCTTTTCCATATCTATTCAATGGTTGCTGCTAGGGCTCTCATATTTCACAGGTATATTTCTCGAGACAAGACCTTAATTTGGGTACCAACATATTTGGTTTGCATTTGAGAAAGTTTAACCTTTGCTATAAGTTGCCATACGGGGGCATCAGTGTTTCACAAATACATCTTCTTTATGTATTTTTACGCGTGTTCTCTTTGCGTTTTTAACGCCTTAAAAAATTATCGTAGTTTGATCCTAAAAGGCTTCCGAACAATTATATTGTTTGATTTAAAACTGAAAAAAAAACTATTTAAAAAAATTGCTGGGTGTGTTTAATAAGTAGCAGGGAAATGAGGTTAAAGCTTGAAGACAATGTACTACTGTATTTCTGCCTAAAACTCTTGAATTTAGGAAAAATCCAAAAAGCAATTTTGACAATCTTGCTTATACATCTCTGAAAAGGTTTTATGCATAAAATTGAAAAATAAGTCTAGAGGTGATCTGTGTCGGACCAGAATCGTCAACGCTTCAGGATTAAAGCAAAAATTGTAGTTTATTGTTAAGCAAGACTTAGGCTACCTTTTTTCCGCGATTTCTTTATAGATTTTGTAGACAGGCTTTAAGTTGCAATTGAATTAAAGTCAGGTTTGAAAAATCCTAAATCTGAAGAAAGTACATGTAGTAGATTTTTACGCACAAAAATGCAAGAAATCTACGAATATTTAGAATTTTTTGCCCATCTTATTTCTTCCTCAGCGGTGGTATGACATGCTTTTATAAATATAAAATTTCTATTGCTATATATTTACGTTTCTTTCTCTTCATGATCGTTAGATATTAAATAACTGTACCTGAAAACTCAAAACACATGTACAAAAGAAGTCTATCCTCTGGATGTGTTCTTTACTTGAATACGTAAATTTAGATACATGTTTGTGGTAACTATTTGTGGATGTTCAAACAAAATGTTCCCAGATACGTGAATTTGATTCTGTGGCCAATACGATTGCAGCAAGTTTTTTTCCGAAAGATTACATGTACATTCTAGAATAATTTCGAATAATTATTGAATGTTGCCCCCCCCCCTCTCTCTCTCTCTCATATTTACAAAAAAAGTATTATGCTTAGATTTGATCTGATTTATATCGGCATGCAATATTTTCCCCCAGACATGAAGTGGTCAATATTAACCTGAGCAAAAAGCCTGAATGGTACCTGGAAAAAATCAACCCCTTGGGAAAGGTCCCCGCGCTTGAGAAAGATGGCAAGATCATTTACGAATCGGACATTTGTTGTGATTATTTAGACCAGGTGTATCCAAACAACAAATTGACCCCTGATGACCCATATCAACAAGCTAAGGACAGGATGTTACTTTCACATTATGGACAGGTATATATCCAACTTAATATATAAATGACACAGGTGCTTGTGAACAGGACCACCTCCTTTAGTATTTTCTCAACCTAGGGATTTTTCGTTTATTTATTTATTTATTTTATTGTTCTTTTAGATATTTTTATAGATTGTCCTTTTATAGCACAAATACGACATAGAATGAACATTTTATTAAAATTAATCTCATATGCAGTCAAACCTCGTTATCTGGAACTCCATGGGACCGAGAAACAAGAGGCCTAGGGGCCACATCGCTCACCTGAGCACTATGGCTAGAAAAAAGCAGAAATCAGTTCAGTCTTGAAAGGTTGAAAAGTTTAAATATAAAAGTGTGGGGGGAGGGGTGTCATGAATTGAACAAATTTGAATCTACATTATCTGAGGATGCTTCCATTTAAATATGACCAATCATGGCTTTGCTGTTCTTGAGTAGAAGATTTTTAAAGATTTAACCTATGTATTCATATGTAAAACTTTGATCACCCATTGTGGCCCCACCCGACCCCCAGGGGTCATGTTTGAACAAACTTGAATGTACACTATCTAAGAATGCTTCCATATGAATATGAATATGCATAACATGGCTTTGCTGTTCTTAAGAAATAGTTTTTTTTTAAAGATTTTTACTACTTGTTTCTATGTGAAACTTTGATCGCCCATTGTGGCCCCACCCGACCCCCAGGGGTCATGAGTTGAACAAATTTAAATGTACACTATCTGAGGATGCTTCCATGTAAATCTGACCAATCATGGCGTTGCTGTTCTTGAGAAGATGATTTTTAAAGATTTTTCCTATATTTTCCTATGTAAAACTTTGATTGCCCATTGTGGCCCCACCCTACCCCTGGGGGTCATGATTTGAACAAACTTGAATCTACACTATCTGAAGATGCTTCCATGTAAATATGACCAATTATGGCTTTGCTGTTCTTGAGAAGATTTTTAAAGATTTTTCCTATATATTCCTATGTAAAACTTTGATCGCCCATTGTGGCCCCACCCGACCCCCGGGGGTCACGATTTGAACAAACTTGAATCTACACTACCTGAGGATGCTACCATATAAATATGACCAATCATGGCTTTGCTGCTCTTGAGAAGAAGATTTTTAAAGATTTTTCCTATATATTCCTATGTAAAACTTTGATCGCCCATTGTGGCCCCACCCGACCCCCGGGGATCATGATTTGAACAAACTTGAATCTACACTATCTGATGATGCCTCCATGTAAATATGACCAATCATGGCTTTGCTGTTCTTGAGAAGAAGATTTTTAAAGATTTTTCCTATATATTCCTATGTTAAACTTTGATCGCCCATTGTGGCCCAATCCGACCCCCGGGTGTCATAATTTGAACAAATTTGAATCTACACTATCTGAGGATGCTTCCATGTAAATATGACCAATCATGGCTTTGCTGTTCTTGAGAAGAAGATTTTTAAAGATTTTTCCTATATATTCCTATGTAAAACTTTGATCGCCCATTGTGGCCCCACCCGACCCCCGGGGGTCACGATTTGAACAAACTTGAATCTACACTATCTGATAATGCCTCCATGTAAATATGACCAATCATGGCTTTGCTGTTCTTGAGAAGAAGATTTTTAAAGATTTTTCCTATATATTCCTATGTAAAACTTTGATCGCCCATTGTGGCCCAATCCGACCCCCGGGTGTCATAATTTGAACAAATTTGAATCTACACTATCTGAGGATGCTTCCATGTAAATATGACCAATCATGGCTTTGCTGTTCTTGAGAAGAAGATTTTTAAAGATTTTTCCTATATATTCCTATGTAAAACTTTGATCGTCCATTGTGGCCCAATCCGACCCCCGGGTGTCATAATTTGAACAAATTTGAATCTACACTATCTGAGGATGCTTCCATGTAAATATGACCAATCATGGCTTTGCTGTTCTTGAGAAGAAGATTTTTAAAGATTTTTCCTATATATTCCTATGTTAAACTTTGATCGCCCATTGTGGCCCCACCCGACCCCCGGGGGTCACGATTTGAACAAACTTGAATCTACTCTATCTGAGGATGCTACCATATAAATATGACCAATCATGGCTTTGGTGCTCTTGAGAAGAAGATTTTTAAAGATTTTTCCTATATATTCCTATGTAAAACTTTGATCGCCCATTGTGGCCCCACCCCGACCCCCGAGGGTCATGATTTGAACAAACTTGAATCTACACTACCTGAGGATGCTTCCACATAAGTTTCATATTTTCAAGCACAGTGGTTCTGAGAAGAAGATTTTTTAATGATGCCATTAATTTTTCACAAATTCTTAATTATCTCCCCTTGGAAGAAGGCGTGGCCCTTCATTTGAACAAACTTGAATCCCCTTTACCCAAGGATACTTTGTGGCAAGTTTGGTTGAAATTGGCCCAGCGGTTCTTGAGAAGAAGATGAAAATGTGAAAAGTTTACAACAACAATGACAACGACAACAACGACGACAGACAACGGACAAATTTTGATCAGAAAAGCTCACTTGAGCCTTTGGCTCAGGTGAGCTAAAAACTTGAAGATATCTAAGGATTCGAGATATCCAGAGCACAGGCACTTGTTTCTGTAATAAATTTTTGACCCATTATTAAACTATGGGTCAAAAATTTATTACAGAAACAAGTGCCTGTGATCCAGGGTAAAATACTTATATTGATAAATAACAAGAAAACATTGATGTAACCATCAATTGTCGCCCTGGAAATAAATAAAGTAAACAATGGAAATGAGTCTTTATCATCAAACCGCTTCGATGTGTGTGAAAAAGGCATGCGTTTAAATGATGGAGACGATAGTCGAGAATATTTTGAAAACTTATAGTCGGATGAAACTCGAACAAAAACGATACCCTTATAAACTTTACCAATTCCTCAAGTAAATGTTGGCTGCATAAAATATAATTTGAAACCAGACACATGCATCACCTATTTTCAAAAATATCTTTCACTTTAAGAATATAAAACACGAACTGTGTAAAGTACATTTTTACGTTTTTATGCGATAAGTAAAATTCGATATACTAAAAAAAGGGACCTGTCGTTTTTTCGATAGTAAATGATAAGCAACTTTTTATATTAAATATGAAAAACATATATATTTTTACAGATTCACTTTATGGAAGTAAATATATTGTGTATCTCGTAATTTATAAAGGGGAAAGAACATTCTGATTAACAATCTTTTTAATGTTTAGAAAACCTTTAATTCTGAATAACTTCTCCCACCTCAATCCCCATATACCAACACTTAAACTTATATGTATAGAGCAGCCCGGTCCTCCGGGCTGCAATAAGGGGTTGGGCCTTCAAAATCACTTCGACATATCCATGATATTCGAGATATCGGTGTTCGAGATACCGAAGTTCAACTAAAAAAAAAAAAAAAAAAAAAAAAAAAAAAATGAGGAGGAGCCTGGAGAAAATACTTTTTGCGATAGTTAATATGGGTAATTCTTTTTTTTGTATTTAATTGAAATTATGACCAAAGTAATTTGTAACTAATTTTGCAAAACCGCATGTATGATGCGTAAAAATTTATCCGCCTTTCATTATCTGATAGATAGTACACATACTATAACTGTGTTTTATATTGAAATTGAATCATTTGTATAAAAAAGACCATAAAAAATTATATATATCTTTACACTTCTAGGTGACTACGCAATATTACAAATTCTACTTTGGTACACCGGACAGCTTTCCAGCGACGGCCGAGGCTCTCGGCAAATTACTGTCGGAATTTGACAAAGAATTGGAAAAGAGGGGAAAATTCTTTGGAGGTAAAGCAATTGTTATCATCAGAATGAGAAAATAAAATCACAAACAGAAGATTCGAGGATCTTTCATAAAACATGTATTTTTAATTTCCAGTTTCATAGTTAGTGGTAAATCTATTATTTTCTAAATTTACGCTTGCATCTGAACAGGAAATGCACGTAAGGAGTCAAGTACTTACATGTATATACCCAAAGCGGCTATGCCCGTTTTGATGCCGAAAGGCACAGGGACCAGCAACATAAACAACGCGTGATTTAACGAGATCATCAATTCAAGCATAGTATGTTACCGACCCCTCTGCCAAAAGGCATTTATAGCATACATGGCGCATGCGTATTTATGGAAATAGAATTCCATTTTGAAATAGTACTCCACATATTTTATTCATGTGGTTTTTTTTTCTTTCTAGGCGATAATGTTCAAATGATAGATTTCTTGGTGTGGCCCTGGATTGAACGATTCTCCGCAATGGAAAAGTTGGTCAATCAAGTATTTCTGACAGATGGATTAAAACCAAATTTGATGGCGTATCTGAAGAGAATGGCAGACATTCCAGCAGTTAAGAAGTGTATGACAACGGAGGATAATCACCTAAAATTTTACCACAGTGTCAAAAGTGGCAATGGCGATTATGATATCGGACTTGAGTAATTTTCTACGAAAAAGAGAGAAAATTAAAATCGATGATAATACCAATATTAGGCCATCATTAAAAATATCTTTGTTTCCCCTAACCCGACCCTAAAATTTGAAGTTGGGTAGGTAGGTAGGTAAATAATTTTTTTTTCTGACAGCAGCTTTGAAAATACATTCTGAATTTCTGATAAGAATGGGTTTTCATGAAATTGTACTTTATAAAAGTTGATAAACATTAAAAAAAATTATTTGAATAATCTTCTTATAAAAAAAAACTTTTCAGTCGGCGGGATTTAATTGGGTCGGTCGCGTTAGGGGAAACAAAGGTATTTTTTATTTTGGCCTTACTAGAATAACTTAGCCCGGAGGAAGGGGATAGGTCAGATTTAGTGGTATGGGTGTTCAAACGTACACTTGTTTTCGCCTACATTATAACTTATGAAGTATAATTCAATGCCCTGAGCAGGCTTTGTGACTGTGCTTGTTTAACAGAAAAAGGACAAGAAAATCTTCACGATCATTCTACGATAAAAGGACCGATTCAGGGTATATAACATGAAGCAAAAAAAAATTTCAACTTGCCGATTGCAAAATACAATTCTCTAAAGGACATATCAATGCACTTGGAAAAAGAATTATCTACAAATCTGGAATCGTTAATATGTTACAACAATTTCTATATACTAGTATCCGTGGTCATAAGGCAATGTTATGGAAGTTATAAATGCTTATAAACAAGATGTATTATTATTAAAATAAACTTCAAATTGGTCTGTTGTTTTTTGGTTGAATAGCAAAACATTATTTTATAAAATCTCCCACGAATCTAGTATAAAATTAAAATTTCGTGGAAAAATCGTTGAAGTAGATCTTTACGTAAGTTAATTTTCAGCGAAAATAAAGTCATACAATAGAACAATCTGATTAGATCTGCTCACATAGATCGTTACACAAGGATCAGATCTATGCGAGCGGATCAAAGGATCTGTGGTTAGTCGAGAACAGAATGTCATTTCATTTAGGTGAAGCAGAATTCATTATATATTGTTTACCATGAAAACTAAAAATTGCAGATTTTTAAAATTTTGTTTAATGGTCATGTTCCGAAAGTATCAAAATAATATTTAGGAATATGCGTTTATAAGTTTCTCTCTTGTGAAAATATTGTATTAAGTTTTACATAAAAGGCAACACCAAATCTATATCTTTACATAGAATTGCATCTTGTCTTAACAGTCCAGAAAGGTCCATTGTTTTGCTTTGAAACAAATATGTAAATTAGACTATGTCTGTTCTTCATAGTGTTATAGAATAAAGAAACAACGTCAAAATTACTAGTACATTAAAACTATTTAGAATGGGTTTATTTTAAACATTGGTCAAAGAAGAGTATTACCACTGTGGCCATTTTGTTTTCAATAATAATGTTACTAGAATTACTAAAAGTGCAACAAATGAGAATTTTCATATTCCTAAAAATTTGATTTTAATCAGATTGTACAGTAGAAATAATAGAAGACGTTATAATCAAAAGTTATAAGTATTTCGCTCCAAAATTATATGCTTTTTTTTAACACCGTAAATGTCAAATAATGATAATACTAATAAATAATATCCTGGATATATGGAAGTTAAATTTTTAAGAGAGACAATAATTGTCTAATTCATTTTGTTACGTCGAAAAAGTAATGATCTAATTAGAATTGATCACATGAAGTTTTATGGTCTCTTCCAGTTCATTGTCAGTTAGGCTTGATTTGTGTGTAATTTAAAACAAAGAAGTTACGGAAGTTAAATTTATTTCATGCGACATGATATGATTTTTATAGTATAGGATCCATCCATTTTTATGCGAGAAGATGTTTGTTTCTTTTTGTATAGGGAAAACAAACTTTTCTTCAACGTTTCATACTTTTAACTCGGAACGTCTATGCAAGTGAAACTCGTCTTAAAACATTGCAGTGGAATAGGTTTTTCAACATTTTATTGTGTTCATGTCAAAACTCAAACTGCATTTATCGTTTTAAAATATATACGAAACCAGGTGTGTATGTTGAGATTAAGAGTTGAAATCGATCTTTGTCATACAGATGTTTTTAGTACAACTTCCAACCTGAGAATGACGATCTGCCATACAAATCACTACGAATAGCACCAGAACCAGGATCCCGGGAATGTGTTTGAATATAGACGTCATCACCCTGGTTGACATGCGCAATGGCTACACCAGTCGCCTGTCCATCTTCTCCAGTGAGAGACTTCATGTAAATACTCCCGTAGATATCACTATTAACAACAAGTTCCAAAGCATGGTCTTCTCCAGTACCTCCATAATGCTTTATTCTACTGGTCCAACTAAAAGCGTAGTATCCCGACTCAGGGGCGATGAAAACTCCAGAGCTTTTATGGTACGCGTTTCCAGCGTTGGTTTTAACAACATCGAATTTAAGAATTTGTCCCTGTCCCGTGTGTGAAACATCAGAGGAGAAATAAGCGTAGAATGCTATAGTCCTGTGTGCTGTTGGATGGGGTGGTTGAGTTATCGGTATCAAAAGTCGTTCTGTAGTATTTAAAAAAGAAACACGTTTTACAGATAAAAAATGTTTTTTAAATATATAATTTTTATAAGACATGTAATATCCCCCCCCCCTTCCCCCGCATTTTTTTTTTTTTTTTTTTTTTGCAAAGAACACCTTTTATGTTTCTGCAGCATATTTAAATCGCCCCATGATGAGATTATTACATTTTGCGTTGAAATCAATGCAGAATGTAATTTTACAAAATATAAGTACATACTTTATGTATTATTACATTTGCGTTATTACATTTTGCGTCGAGATCAACACCGAATGTAATAACACAGAATGTATAATAACATAACATACATGTATATGCTGTAGATAAAATTAAATCCTATTCGATTTAATAGCGATTATCTGTAACCACTTAAACTTCTTTGCCACGCATGGTCACCGATTTTGATGAAACTTTGCCCATTATTACAAATTGACACCAGAAACATATTTCAAATAAAATTTCGTTGCTATGTGTTTTGGTTGCCATGGTAACAGCCAGAAAAGTTGAAAAAAAATGAGATTTTCAGGTACTTTGAATCTTTATTAAGCCTTAATAAAAACTAAGGAAAACAAACAAACCATTCTCACAAACACATGACACCTTGTTGCCACTTATGCTATAAAGAAATTATTTAGAATTTATCTCTAAGTAAGTGGTAACCATGGGTACATTTGGAATACATTTTAGATGCTGAAAATGCTGAAAAATGCTCAATATTCACAAATGATAGATGATACATGATCAAACTCAATCAGCAACCTAAGAAAAACAATAAAAAATATTTGACCTTAAGTAATTAGGTGTTGGCAACTTTCATGGTTGTCATGGTAACACAGTGTTACCATGCAAAATATGTTGCTATGATTGGGTTAATGCTACTATCTTGAGAAAAAACAATAAAATTCATGACTGGCACATATACATCCTTAGGACGTTGCAACACTGACAACATAAGAAAAATAAGGATTAATTGTTACTTTGCCGTGTAACCATGGAAACAACGTACTAGTTGTTTTAAGTGATATTTTTTTGCTGCTTTAGGAATTTACTTACCTTTTAATCAAGAAAAATATTATTTGACTCACCTTGAATTGTACTTATCTGGTAGAACTAAAGTTGAATATCATATATTGATAAAGTTTGTCGAAAAATACAACACTGTTGCTATGGTTACCAAGAAGAGGAAATGTTTGATTTTGTTAATTTTATGTCAATATTAAACCCTATGTGCCAGCTTTTTGCATCCAGTTAAAGATTGGGTGGTAGTCACAATTGAAAGTCAGGTTAGTTGTTCATATATATCAATCATAAAAGTTTTGGGAATCTACATGCAAGGGTACGTATCCAAGGAAACAGATTATTTTTCAGATTTTTATGCATATTTTTCGCCTTATTTCCATAGCAACGCTCTATTTAAAGAATTAAATTTGAATTTTTGAAATGTGAATATTAGGGTCACACCAACGCCTTTAAAAATTGATTACCAGTTATATAGAAATATGCTTTTTAAAACGATAGGATAAGATTAAAACACTAAGAGAGTAAATTCAAAATCTCTTCGTGGTATTAAAACCATGGCAACCATTACCAACTTATAAGAAATATCATATTTTGTCCTTGGTATATGTTATAAGGATCTCTTGTCTATTATTTGCTTGCATTTCAACCTATAATTGTTTTTATTCTTAAGTGTATGACTTTACAAAATTAAATTAACAAAATTATTACTTTTGAATACTTTGTTTCCATAGCAACATATGTTATAGTTGATATACCAAACATGTTTATCATGCATTTAAGACACCAGGCCTTCAACTTTCAGAAACAGTCATTGCCACTTGTTTGTTTTGCTGCAAACATTAACTATGGGACTCTGAACATGTTGAAAAATGCCATTTTTCAAACTTTAATACATGTTGCTATGGTAACTATGACACGTAGCAACCAATTTTGGCCTGATATGAGTTTACGGTATCAAAGACTTTTATCATAGAGAGTTTGGAGAAATTCTGAGACTATGCGTGCCACAGCTCCTATATAAAAGTTCAAGTCATTACAGAGAATGGCTCTTAAATATAAGGATATTTTGTGGTATAAAAGCAATTCAAAACAAGAAAACTACCACAAGTTAAAAAAAAAATATGGTAATCATTTTGTTATGGCAGCTAACAAGGATAATATGATATTTTGTTTTAATAAACTTCGCCTCTGTTCCAGAAACGTATACCGACAGGAATTTAGGAATATTTTGGATAAGGTAGTTAAAGTTTTATAAAGAAAATTGATTGCAGTCTACTGTTATCCCACTTTCTCAATAAAAATATTTGTGGAGATTAGGCCACCATTAAAAATATCTTTGTTTCCCCTAACCCGACCCAAAAATCTCAAGTTGGGTAGGTAGGTAGGCAAATAATTTTTTTTGACAGCAGCTTTGAAAATACATTCTTAAAATGAAATAGAATGATACCTTTATAAATAAGTTAAGTACAAAAGAAAGCGATTTGTAAACAGCTAAGATACCATACAAATGCTGGTAAGACTAACATTTAAGATAAATTAATTCACAACTATTATTCAATCGAAGTTTTGAAATATCTCATACCAGAGTAAATTTGTTGAAATTGAATACATCTGTTTAAAAGATTCTCGGATACGCAAAGACCGGACATCCGAGAATTATTTTCATACATGTACTATCAGCTTCCAGTGCTTACACATGCAATGTACTTTTTCAAGGGCTTCGAATTGTGCAGTGGTTCTAGAGCATTAATTTCGTTTTGGAGCCTCGAAGTGAGGAGCTATATCTAAGTTGCAGGTTCAAATCCCAGTGCGGGACATTGAGAACGGTTCTTCGAATGAGACCATAAAAACTTAGGTCCAGTGTCGCAGAAGAAACTGGCACGAAAAAGATCTCTCACTGCTTAATGGCCTAAAGTGCCGCATACAAGTCTAAATTTTGAGCCCTTCACCGGACAAATGTTTAAATAAATGTTGTTATCCCTATAATTGTCAAAGGAATTCAAATCAAAGAAACAACCAATCTTCAAGGGCCTTATTAAAGAAAAATACATGAACGTCTCAGGAAGCTTGTATCATAATTTCAAATCTATTTGGAAAAAGTATGTTGACTATAATTAATTGAGACCAGGCGCGTAGCTGCCTATACGCAAATACGCAAGTGCGTACACAT